GTCCAGCAAGCAGTCCTGGAATATATTATAATATAAATTCGATTTCTCCAAATAGTTATGTAGATTTGAAAGACACTGCTTATCCTTTCGTTATCATTCACGGAAGCCGTGGTTTGGAGATACAAAAGTATACAAACATTGATAGGCAACAGATGTACTCATATCAAGAACATACAGAGATATACGAGAGGATTGAGAAACGAATATGTATGTATGAATTTATGTGTGTATATATATATATATATATATACACGTACACGAGGCAAGTCAGTGACACCGATTGAGAAACGCTGCGCAGTAACTCTGATGATCACTGCGCGACATACATTTGTTTTAATTAAAAAATCTCTAATTTAATTAAAAAATTAATCAATCAATCTAATATCTCTTCGTCTAAACCGGAAGCACTCATTTTTCCTGAAATTCTGGAGCCATACGACGATTCTACAACGACGAGCACGAGACGCGACACGACTTTGGAAAGGCGAAGCACTATGTATCGATTTGCCAGGAGAATGTGGAAAACAAGCTCCGGAACTCTCTTTACCTCTTTTCGCGTCTCTACGGCGGTCATGTTGTTGGCGTTAGCCTCCCTCTGATAGTTCCCGTTTTGAAACACTTCTTCCATGATTCCTTTTATGATGCGTACAACTACCTACGGACCCAGCCAAAGCCAGCAGGGCTCCGATTTAATTATTCACATAACGTCTGGGTCGCTCGAGGCCGACCAGCGACCACCGCTGCTGTATCGACACTGGCAGGTCGGAGAGCTGGTAAAAGCAAGCTATAACATTGCGCACGATCGCGGCAATCCAACCAAGAATCGAGCCCGAATTCAGGCGCCAGGTTAAAACACCAAATTTACAATTTACAATTCAATTTTTTCAAATTTACAATTTAAAATTTATACATGATAAAAAAAGATAAAAATTACAACTGGTAAAATTATAAAAAAGATATGGAAATCAATAGCATCCTCTTCTTCAAGTCCTCAGATTGTTATGACCTGTCGCATTGCCTGTCTCGCTTCTTCCTTCCTATGATGTTCATTGGAATATCTTCTACGGTATTTCATTTGTCTCTTCATGTATTCTTAAAAAATTCTCTATTCTTTTGATCATTGTCTGTTTTGCTTCCATTTTATTCAAAAAAATATTAATAATAAATTTAATATTTATTATAAATATAACTATGGTATCTCTCTTGGTCTGATTCTTCGCCATAGACCTGTCCGGCATGGGTGACCCTACCGGTAACTACGTTACCGCCGGCATAGCTCTCAGGTTCATTAGAATACTCAAACCTCCTCACCCGGCCAAACGCCTTCGTTAAGGTGGAGATACCATCGAGGAGGTAAAAAATTTTTATTATAATTATTTTATTTAAATACACAAGTTATTTCATTTTGTAAAATATAATATAATTATAAAATGATGCAAACAAATTGTGATAAAAAAAGTTCATCAATAACTTTACCAATTATATTTCTCAATCGTAAAAAAAAATATTTAGACTACTGTATAAAATTACGATATTTTAATTTTCAAAAGAATTTGACGCGTAATAAGATAGGTAAAGTTTTGAGATATATCAACGATCAAATAAGAAAATAATAATCGCGATCAAAAGAATAAGATAAAATATCTCGAGTCGTGGATAATTTGACGATATAACTGATCTGAGAGAAAATTAGAAAATTAAATCAATATCCTTTCGCCGAATGGCAAGCCGGTTAATATCCGACAGAAAAAAAAAACGATCTTAAACGTGAAGAGCGATCTCAACATGCTTTGCTTTCACATCGGGTCCCGCGGGATCGATGCGTGAAGAAAAGTTAAGCGACCCGTCAAACCATGATCCCGCTGCAGGGTGGAACGAATCCCGAATCTTTCGGACTGCTCCCAATAGCAATGATTTCAACATTTCAATGAATCAACGACAGTTACTATCATTACATCATCCTCAATTCACAAGATCAAAATTTGCGCGAGAAAAAAATGTTTTCCACTATTAAAAAATATTTCTTTTTATTGAAAAATAAACGGATATAACAAATTTTATGAAAATTTGGTTACAAACAAGTATACTTAAGGATAATGAGATATATGCGCCTTAATTACTTGTTAAATGTACAAATACAATAATTCTCGGGTACCAACTGATTCGAGACAAGTCAAACCCGATAACAGCAAGATTTTGCAAAATTTTGCACTTGAATATTTCGTGACATAAAATAGAAAATTATAGATTTTTCTATAACATTTGGATATTTTTTACTTTGTCGATATCTTACTGATATGGGGGTACCCATTTGACTTGCCTTTAATTTTTTAAGTACTTGTACACTTGTTTTATGCATTTGTGTGTATTAGTAATATACTATTTTTAAAAAAATACAAAAATTTTGTCAAATAAGATGGCACAATTTGCGCATATATTTTATTATCTAATATAAAATATCTAATGTAATATACTTATAAATATTGATGCTTTGGAATGCGAGATGTCCGATACCTAAAAATAATTCCTTAAAAATTAAATTTATTAACACAATTAATAAAATATATTTGTTTGTAACCGTTTGTTAAAAAATTCGCCAAAAAGAGGCAGATAGATTGCAATTTAAATTTACTATTTAATAAATTGAAATTTATCCATACAGAATGGTTATATCCATTTTCTATTAATAATGTGAGTCTCTTTCTATATATTAAAAGACAATATTAATATTAATAATATTAATAATGGAAGAACACTCTTAACAAGAAAAGAACTCTTTTTTCAAAATATATAATTTAATTATAATATTAAAATATACTACTTAATTATTTTCGTAATCCGATTTTAAAGAATCGTATGGTGATCATCGTTAAATCATTCTCGAAATCATTGCTTTCGGGAAACGTCAAAAAAATCCGTGTTTAATTCCAGCCCTGCAACAGGTATCCCTAGTTTTCCACGGAGCACCGAACTAGACGTCATGAATAGATCCCACAAGAACCGACGAGAAATATATAACTCTACGCGATGAAGATCGTTTTGATTTCTCGTCCGTACGAATTCGTCTACGCATTCGCTAACGTCTATCTGATATGAAAAACAGCAATAAAATTCCTTTGTTGAAACAGTGATCGCGTCCAAGAATACAAAAAAAAACGCGGTGTTCGCAATGTAATTTGCTAATTCATTTAGCGAATATTTAATTTTGATATGAAATTCGCGAAGACATTAATCAAAGTCAAATATTAAATGATTCGGTAATTATTGATGACTCGGTAAAATGTTAAATTTTAAGATAATTTTAAAATAGAAACTTTACTAGAAAAAGAAAGAGAGAGAGAGAGAAAGAGTAAATTTTACTCATTAAATATATTATAGTAATTTAACGAATTTTGTGTTATCGCACGTATTTTACAGTTTTGTGTAATTTACAATTTATGATATTATAGATTAGAACATAAATGTAGATATAATATAAATGCAATACAGAGATATATGTATATAAATATATGTTACAATATAAATATATGTTACATAATAAAATAAATTCATAATACAGATAGCAATATGCAGTTGATGCTATCAGTATTAAATAATTTGATGTAACTATTTAACGTTGCAAATAATTCACGAAATGTTCAGAAACAGCAATAGTATCAAAACTTCTATTGCTTAAATTGATTAATATAATATTACACACAATCCAAATATATAATACAAATTAAAAAATATAAGAAATTATAATATAATATTTATAATAAATACAAAATATAATTTATAATACAAAAAAATACAATATAAAATTAATTAAACATTTATATTACATGTAATTTATATTACTCAAAAAAAAATTCAAGAATAATATATAGAATTATATATCAATCTTGAATGTACAACTTTTTTTGAAACTATGTTAAACTTTGTGATTAAATCATAGTCTTAAGTTTTAATATTCTATGAAAAGCCTAATAATATTCATAATTGTAAAAATCTTAATATTCTTAATAGCCTAATAGCCTCAATTTTAATAGCCCTAGCAATCCTAATAGCCCTAGCAATCCTAATAGCCCTATTCGCCCTACTTACTGGTTAAGCCAGCGGGAATCCGCGATTTATTTGAGATTTTTGGGGAATGTGCCCTAATCAGGATTTAATTTACAAACGCACCGTTAGCATTTTTCGCATCTCCATATATTTTTTATATATGATTGTTTATTTTACGCGGACCCGTTATTTTATTTTATATAGATTTTTTTTAGGTGCCATTGCACGTAAAAACGCGAAAACACATGAACTTTTCCTTCATATGTATCATTAACGTCTTTTGACCAATAATGGTCACCTAGCTTAGATGATCCATTCTTCAGACCAGTTGGACCTACCTTTTGTTGATCCTGGTCGCTTCAATCTGACTTTTAGCCAGAAATAAAGTAGGTTCGACCTCTATCAGAGATCGAGGAAGGAGAAAAACTCCTTTCGTGGCCGGCTAATTATCATCGCCGGTAAGCGTGAACATTTTACGCTCGTTCTCGATGATGTGGCCTAATCGCAATTTTATTTACGTGCCATTGCACGTAAAAATGCGGAAGTTATCTTTCCTGGCCGCATTTAATCTGGCTACTTTTAGCCAGAAATAAAACAGTTTCGATCTCTATCAGAGATCAAAAAAGGAGGAAAACTCCTTTCATTGCCCGCTAATTAATTTTGCCGATGTATGAACGTAATTTTACGCTCGTTGACGGTCGTAATACGTTAGGACCGTTTGTTGTACGTTGTCTTAATATAACTTTGCTTTAACTGATACACAATGTCGTCATTAATTAAAAATTGTGATTCATTAAAATTTGTATAATATATAATATATATTATACTTACATAATAAAATTTATAATAAATATTTTTATCATAAAATAAAATTAATTAAACATTGACTTATATATTTTTCATTCTCCTATATTTTTACTTTGTAATATCATTCACTTATCTCTTTAAATATTATACATGATTTGATCAATCGATAATTTAAAATTGTATCAGTCAAAACAAAGTTTTATAATATGCTATACTACATAGATGGATAGACTATAAAATATTACAATAAAATTAGCGTGCGTTACAAAAATAAATTATTATATATAATATTAATAAAATTAATGGCACGTTCTTTATTAAATAAAATAAATAATGGATAGATAATTGATTATAGAATGATAAAGAATGAATTGATAAAGAATTGAAACCTTTTTCTATATTTCTTTATTTATGTTTTAACTTGTATTTGTAATAGCTTTAATGCAAATTGGTTATATTAAAAGAATATGTCAAAAGTTATATGTGTGATCTCACTTATTCTAGTCCATCCATTTTAAGATAATGGATCCATCTACAATCTACAAGCTAGAATCTACATCTACTATCTATACAAATCCATTACCTTAAAATTAAATAAAAGTTTGTCACTCACCGGCACTGATGCGCAACGGCGGAGTTGATGGTCTTGAGGCTGCGTTGTCTGCAACACACAAATATAAAATCCAAATTATAGCAACGCTTCAAATAATTAATATTTCAAGAAATTATTATTGTACGCAAATTTTATATTCGATGCGTACAATAATAAGCAGGTATATAAATATGAAATAATATTATAAATTCTAAAAAAAAAAATTAATTTTTTAAATAAAAGCTTTTATAATGTGAGTTTTTCTTGTTTAAACTATTCAAATAAATGAATCGAATTAATGCATGTACAGGATTTATAATTAATATACAAATAATAATACTCACCCTTAGGTTGCTCCGCCGGTGCAGGATGCCTCTCCTAGGCCTCCTCCTCCTCTCAAGATGTTAGGGTCGCTAGGTTGATCTGTAACACAAATAGAAGATCCAAATTGTAGCAGCGCTTAAAATAATCAATATTCCAAAAAATTTATTATACGCATTGAATTTTATATTCAATGCATATAATAATATGCAGATTAATAAAATAATCTTATAAATTTTGAAAAAAAAACTACTAATAACTAATAATTTCATATTAAAGCTATAATCTAAAAGTAGAAACTTTTACAAGATTATAGCTTTCCTATAAAAATCTTTTCCTCTAATTCTCTCTTGTTTAAATTATACATATATATAAAAAAAAACAAATCAAATTACGCGATTAATTGCTCAATTTAAATTGCACGTATGCAATTAGTAATTAATATACAGATCATAATTTACTTACCACAGGGTTGCTCTACCGATGCCCGATGCCTCTCCATATATAAAATATAATAATATAAATAAAAGAATAGTAAAACCCATTAACTAATAAAGAAATAAATAAAGAAGAAAATTTAATAAATGTGTAAAAATTACACTCTAATCTAAAAAAATTATTATCTTATAATTAGCCAATAAAATTGAAATAAACCCGTTATTAACATATTCAATTTAACTAGAAACTAACTATAATCCTCCTGTAATAAAATCTATAAATTTACGATTTAATTCAAGTAAAATTTTAATAAAAAGGATAGATAAAAAATATTAAATTATTACATGTCAAAAATACAATTACAATTTTTAAAAATCTACAAAGAAATATCTTTTTCTTAATTTTTTTTTTATTACTCTTATAAAATATATTTATTTTGTCATTATATATACATTCTTTTATACATATAATGCAAAAATGTGTATAAAATATATAGATTGTTTTACTCTAAACTCTACAAAGTCAGATTCTATACTGTAATTCGTAGTTTTATATTTCGAAAGTCGGACTTTTAGGGAACTAAATAAAAAAAAATGATGTTGAAAAAAAAGTGTGAAAGGATAGGCAAAAGTTTGTTGTAAGTCAATAATTAAATAAAAAATAGAATTATCGATTAAACAGGATAAAATAAGTTTTATAAGCTTGGAGAGTTAAAATTAAATAAATATTGTTGAAATCTCGATTCTGATGTATTTAATGACGCTGAGTTCTTTAAAAATACATTTTTCATATATACATTGTGCGAGTATATAATTTATTCACTACATTATATATACTATATATAAAATACAGATATTATAAATTACAGTAGGTGGGAATAAATAAGGCTTACAGACGTATGTAAGCATTTTTATCTATATGATGGAAAATATTGTTCACATATGGATATATAAAATAATAAATAACGATAGTTATTAAAACATATAACAACAAAAATATATTTACATATTGATACTACGATAAAGAAAGAAACCTAGATACAAGATACATCTGCAAAAGATTTAAGCAATAGTCTTTGCTTTGTCCTCATCCTTTTTCTTACGGGGTAGCGCACCGACCAAAAATGCAGACACTAGAAAAATTTTAAATATCTTTCAAAAATTTCATGCACAATTATAATATATTTTTGCTTGTATGTAGATGCAAGAAAACAATAATCTATACCAAAACAAGCTGAACCAATCATAATGAATGGTCCTAGGCATGATAAATTGAATAAAACGGGAAACAATAAATTGCCTATCACTGCGCCTATTCTTCCCATCATCATAGTTATGCTGACTGCCATGGTTCTGTTTATGGAACAATATAATAAGAATATTATAAAATAAATACAAGATAAACAACGATTTCTTCTCATTTATTACTTATTTAATATTTTTTAAATACTTTAAATTGCATATATATATATATAATAAACGCTTTAAATTACTGTCATACCTTAGACATGTAGGAAAATTGTCAACGATAACATTAGTAACAGTCGCACCACCTATACTCGACATAGCAACGAATACCGAAGATAATCCGAGAATACCGTTCGTACTTTCGGCCCAATAAAGCGAACCACAACAGGCAGCAGCGGAGAGAAAACAAATTGCTGCAAAAGTATAATAATTATAATACAATTACAAATAATTATATAGATTTTGCAGTAAAATTACGATATCGCAAACATTATCTTTCTTTGCTCATTTCATGAATAAAATCGCCATCTATTTATATTACTGCATCGATTACTATAACTTATAGATATCTTACCCATCAATTTCTTTTTTCCAATTATGGTAATTAAATTACCAGCCAGAGTATAACCAATTACGCCTGTAACGGCAATGACAATGGAGTTAATAAAGACTCGAGAATTCAACTCCGCCTGAAATTGATATGTATATTATTTCCCGGATTCGCTTTCTATAAATTGCAACCAAAGTTTATTCATGTCAGAAAGATAGCTTACCGGAACGCATGCAACTGTGCTGTTACTTGTTTCATTGACGTATCGAGTGGAATTAAGATATGATTTTTCTTGACCTAACATATAACAAAATGAAGGTTGCAGACCTGACACGTGATCGTCGTCCTTCATAAGAGTGCTCTTGTAACTTTCGATCATCGCAAACAGCTGTGGCATCCAAAGGCGCAGCGAATTCGATCTGATAGTTGCAATTGAGAAATCTCATAAATTGCGTTTATTTCTTTTTTAAATTGAATTTAAGAAGAGAAAGAGAAGTCAATCGAACCAACCCTATCGTTGCTCCCAGTTGTATCGTCGATATAAGTATTAATTTGAAAATATTGGGTGGCAAAAAGAGAGGTTTCATCTGCTTTAAGCAATTACGCATCTTGTCCTGCATACATTCCCCGGAAGATTTTATGGAATATTCATCCTCGAGAGATTTTATCTGTCAATTAAGTAGCATTGTTAGCAAAACTCGATCGATAGCCGCAATACTATTAATAAATTTAATGATCTCACAAACACAATGCGCAATTATTGTGCATCTTTTATACCCTTATCAAAATAACTTAAAGTTTCACATTTTTAATCGCATTTCATTTGTTATTCAATTGCTGATGCAAAGTTATGGCAATAAACAAATAGTTTGATCAAGAAACTTAATTTCACGCTGATTTTAATCGGAACTGATTGTGAGCTACGTTCTAAAATATATATGAATCAAATCTTTTAAAAAATTTTTTCAAACTGTTTTCAAACTATAATAAAGTGTCTAAATACATCATCATCTTTGAATAAAATATATTGTTATACATAATTACTGGATATGTGTCAGGATCTTTTCCGGTATTGATTGAGTAGATTTTTTTAAAGACATTCAACGCTTCATCGTGTCGACCTTTCAGGATAAGAAAGCGCGGACTTTCTGGGAAAGCGAGAAGAGCGGCGCATGCTAGAAATTCTGGTAACGAACAGATCGCTAAGAACACTCTCCACGAATGTATTTTTATAATTTGGCTGAAAAATGTAATTTCCCACTTTTGAGGTAGTATGAGCCATGCTATACCTAAGAATAAAAAAAATTTTTAAACATATTTTATTTAATGTAAATTGTTTATTTATTATAAAATATTATATTTATGTCATGTCAAAATCGCATATTTTTTATTATTTTTGTTAAGTTTTTGAATCAATTTTAATTCTTTTAGTATTTAATAAATTTCACAATATCAGCAATGCGCATATTATAACTGTACGTATCGCCGACTTAAAAATGGCCGCTCTATAATTTAACCCTCGTTGATTCTCAGATAAGGTGTGTCAAGGCTGTACTTACATGGTAGGGAAATGTTTCCAAGCGAGAAGAACGCGCCAAGCCACATGTATGCGCGCGATCGATGGACTTCGTTATGTATCTCCGCCAAGTACGACATAAGCGCTGCATATGGGCCAGATATGCTACAATTTATTGATCAGGGTATCAGCTCTTGTGTAACACTCTCGTGTTGTATAAATTTTTATTTTTTTTTCTTATTCATGTGTGTGTGTGTGTGTGTGTGTGTGTGTGTGTGTGTGTGTGTGTGTGTGTGTGTGTGTGTGTGTGTGTGTGTGTGTGTGTGTATGTGTGTGTTACTACAGTAGAAATGCAGAGCAAATAAATATAGAATATTTATTAAACGTAACAAAATTTTTATTAAATATTCCAATCTATAATTACGAAAGAATTAATATTACAGTTATTATTGATATAGTTAATATTTGGTAATTAATTATTACTGTTTGCTTATACATAATATATGTGGCATGGTCAGATCGATTCCAACGATTCCAACTTACATGACGCCGTCGAGAAATTTGAATATTATTAAAAGCCAGGAGGTGTGTGCAAAACACGTCGCCAGACTTATTAAACCGGTAACCAAATAACCGTAGAACATTAATTTTTTACGACCGAACATGTCGGCCATGCAACCCCAGAAAAACGCCGTGCTAATCATTCCTGAAACAGATTAACAGATTAATCGATTCTGCCTTTGTATAAGTTTTCCAGAAATTGGATCTTAAGACAGAAGATGTGAGAAAGATAGCGTACAGTCAAAATTAATCGTTTACATAGAGTGCATTATTTTTGTTAAACGATATTGTTTCCGTATTTATGATATCCCGTGAACTTACGACAAGATCAGTGCCGGATTATTCGATAGGCACACGCCTAGGGGCCTCCAAGCTGAGAATTTTAACTAAAAATGTTTAACTTTTCTGTTTCATAAGAAATTCTATAATCGGGAATCGTGAGACGCAAGATATATTCTTTGAGTGTAGTGTTAAATTAATTACTACTCTTCAACTGCGTCTGACATTCTTATATTTTAAATTTCAAGAGAGATATTTATGTAAATGTTTTGTTTCCTAATAATTCATCTTATATTTTTCCCATAATAAAATTTCAAGTATATTAATGACATTTATTAATGATAAACGAGAATGGATGTATATTTTGTAAAGCTCTCTTTTTTCTCTTATATAAATATTAATAATAATTTTTTTAATAAAATAATTTTGCAATAATAAACTCGCATTTTCCTGCTATTAATAAGATAGATAACAATACAAGATGGAAAATCTCGTCATTGATTTAGACTTCTCTCGAGGTCACTGCAAGCGAGGAGAGCCCCCGAGATGGCTGTACCATTGGGCTTATGAAGAACCTTAATCCGCCACTGGATAAGTTGCTTGCGCGGATCGTAAGCGATCGCGGACGAAAACAACCGGTCGAAAATAATTCGGCCGGTCGGAAATCGCATGCGACAATAAATAAAATGATACGGTATTTACCGTAGGTTCGTGTTTGCCCTCACATTATTGCCTACAACGAACCGGCAGTGTACACCGCGCGATAATCATACACTTTAAGTATGCCAAACTCTGAGGCTCTAGGGCTCTCATCGAGCTCCCTCACATCTGTAATAAATTGTTGTTATGCAATTGTTATGCGAATTGAAAATACAACCTGCGAACGCCATCGAGTTCAGCAGTCCTTTGTCAACCATGGTTAGCTGGAGATCGCATTCGGCAGACGGTAGCACGTAGGACATTACCGATGACGAGAAAATACTGGAGAAACTGGCCGGGAGCACCGCCAGAAGCAACAAGTAATTAAATTTTCCATAACCTGGCAACAAATATAAGACACATATTGGTATATTTCATCAGTTCTGTCCGATACATTGAGTCAAACGTTCAAAGATATACATATTGATACATGATGGATCATTGATGATTTGCTATTATAATATAATAATATCGCGTCGATCAATACTTATATGCATTGCCAATAAAAATTTAAACAACTATGATATAAAGGTTCATCAAAAATTGCATTTGAATTAAATAATTTAGACATACATCATACACCTTTTGTTCTTCGCAAAGTTAATGAACATCCGCGCACCGGTAAACGTTAATTAAACAAGCGATATCGCGAAATATTGAGACTTAGGCAATTATACGAAAACCTTTACTTACCTGTTGCTATAATTGCCCGTTCGAAATCTGCCGGACTCGGATCTTCGGATTTTGCGTCCTCACCTATAAACAGTCACAGCACTGAGTTATGATAAATCTTGGCGTAAATGTAGCCTGTTTCAGATTGATGTGGATTAAAATTGATATTACACCTGATTTACGACGCATACGTCTGTATTTAACCGATGTATATTGTGTAAACAAATGAATAAGTCGTTCAAGAATCATTTTTCCTGTCACTTATCACCCAGTACAGTCACTCTCTCGCAGTTAGTTTTATATTCACTTTGATACTTCGGTATATTTATACGATCACGAGGAACTGTCAATATTGCCACACAACGTTTGAAAATGTCGAAAACAATATTTCTATTTAAGCTAAGACTCTCAAAGGTAGTATTAATAACATATTTATGTTATATAGATATAGGAAGTATTAATAACATATTTATGTTATTAATATTTCCTGTATCAATTTCGTTCGGTATCGTATGTTATCATAGTATCACAATATATCTATTCCTTTATTCGTCATTAATGCGATATTATTTTATTATTTTAATTAAATAAGAGACATAATAAATCGTTGTAATGCAAGCACAGTTAATCGCTCTTTTACAAAACTGGGTAATATATTCTCACAATATACCAATCAAATAATATAATTACGATAAACGTATTTTACCCGAGGCACTACATGCATGAGTCTTATAAATCTTGCTTCGCGAAAAGCGCACCCCGTAGGATTAGTAAAATATGCTAATGCACGTTTTATTAGATGCTTTCAATTTTCGTGATAACACTCGCGAGCAATCGCACGTCGTAATTATCTTGATATTGAAAATTACGCACCATCAAGAAGACGACGCGAACATCGCGAGACGGGACGAGATCGACTAACGCGATTCATCAATGTCCTTGCCAAAATATTTACTTAAGAATCTCCCACCATTATTTACAAGCATTAGCGAAATTGTCTGATACTCTTCGAAAATTTCCTTAGCATTAAAAATTCTCTTTAAAATAAAATTTTAAATCTTTTAAAAAATCGATTTATTTAATTAATAACAAATTGAAATTAATTTAAAAAGCTGCAATATTTTAAACAATGACATAATTTTACACTGAAGTAATTTTAGACGCATTTAAGTATATAATGCATGTAATGCAGTGATAGATGTTCATTTCTATTATCATTAACAGTAATACTTAAAAATCGCAGCTATAATCGACAACGTCTATGTACTTTTTGCCATTAAGATGCATTAGAGCTGAACTATTTCTATGAATTAAATTTTGGTGCAAATAAGTAACAAAATATCATGCACAACATTTTTTATACGATAATCTATATATTTTATTATTAAAAAATAATTTTAAATATATTGTAAATATTTAAATATTACTAAATAATTAGATAATTAAATAATTAATTAATTAGTTATCACATTGATTGCCATGCTATATTCATGGAAAATATTATCACGTTACGTTTACGCAACTGTTCGAAGGCATAATAAAATAATACACACATAAAAATAAAAATGTGCAATAAAAATACACAATAAAAATTACAATAAAAAAATTAAAGTTAAAATTAAATAAGTATGATTTTACATATAAAAATTTACTCAACTAATAGATATAAAAATATATGTATCATTTGTATAATCAAATTTGTTTTGAGACTATTACTCTGATAAGCGTGACGCGGTTTCCGGCAAAATGCATATGTCTCCATCATACGAATGTCAGCGTATACGATATTAATCATGTCACATCTATAAGCTAACGTATTTCTTACTAACCTGTTCTTTGCATGTATTAATTTCTTGTAGGATAAAAAAGTGGAGTATTTTTAAACCACGCCTCATATGCTAAATACATTGCAATTAATATTTATTAAAGAGTATATCAACGTGTCCATAACTATTGCGTTACAACTCCGATTAAAAATTGCGTCATTCCCTAATGCATCCTTCATGGAGAATTGTGTTCTATAAACAACAATTCGTGTTTTGCATCATGAACTGCCAGTAAAATGCAAAGAAAAATAGCAATCTTAAGACAAGTGTCCGTTTCCATAACGTGAATTTCGTAGAACAATTAAAAAATATTGAAATACATATAAAATATAAAAACAAAGCAAACATTAAGAATTGTTTAACGCATAAGTATTTTTAACGCATTTAGACATTCACATTATTACGTATTCATTTTTTCAATGAAAAGAGAAATAGAATAGAAAACTAGAGTTATTGTATTAAGTAATAAGTCCGATACTTTGCAATATAAATTTAATATCTTGAGGCCGATTTAAATGATATATTAAATATATATAGCGTCAATTTTTATATACATTAAAATATATTAAGCAAATTTTATATTATTATTGCAAAAATGTGTCAAATGCAAAATAATTTAAAATAAATAATAGAAATAATTTGTTATATAAGGATATCTAACCGCGCTTTTATGCAGATAAAGGAATTAATATTAATACCAATATTTGTTTTAACATTACGCGCATTATCATATAATGAACGATTGTGATTAATGGATTACACTTGAGTAACGTATCTCGTGATCATTATACATTCGCACACAATTGAAAAAATATTATGCGATGTGCGTGGATTAATACGTATCACCCACACATTTTTATTACTGCATTTGTAAATTAAATTTTTTACAATCAGAATACACGCATAATTATGTAAAAGATAATTACACATGATTCACAGTTCAGAGCAAAGAAAAATCGAAAAAAAATCTGCCTGTAAAATAAATAGCCGAAAGAATATTGAAATATTTATATTGCTTAATTAAAAAAGATTTGTACTATCAAACAAATTTATTGATGTAACAAAGAAGATTAATTAAAATTTGTGATTTCCTTTTAGTCTCGCTACAACCTGTGGACTAATTTAGTAAACGATTAGTCAATAATTTATAAGAACTCCCTCAAATGCCGGAACAGACAATATTATCTCATAACAGTACAAAATGTTTTTAAACGTGCAATTTCATATTTTGTCCAATAATAACGCTTACTGGGTAATCATATACATTATTTAATAAAGCGACGAATAACATTGCTGCAAAAGCGGAAGTTACCGTCTCGAAAAAATTCGATAGTCCTATAATATAAAAATGTTTCACTATTTAAATATATGCTTAATATAAAATATGTACACATCAGATACAAGAGATAATAAATAAAAATGTAAATAATTAAAGACATAACTTTTTTCAACGATTTGTTAGAAATTAATCGTTAATATAAATTAAATTGTTATTAATTAATACAGAGAAAGTTAGAGAGAGACAACAAGATTTTGTTATCCAGGAAGGGCTTGAAGATATTAAGATAGATAGATAGAACATTAGAAAATGGAAAACATTAAGATAGAGTCTGAGATAAATTGGCGATAACTTGCCTCTAGATTTCACCGACTTCATTAAAATGTTTTCGTCTATCGTTCTTTCGCTTACGTGAAAGACTTGCTGAATAAGAAAACAAGATATGCAGCGATCGGGAGTGCAAGTTTGCGATGCACTATCGCACCATTTATTCGTCTTCTTGAAAATCCGCGCATGCATCACCTCGAGAACGTTCTTCGGGGTATGTTTCCTAAACCGTACATGTACAGTAGTGCGCGACAACCACTAAACTGGCCGATTCGCGAGAAAAACGCAGCCGAGGCGAAAGAAGCGCGAAGAAAACGATGACGATTGACGACGGTGGGGCGATAGTCAGGAACAGCTTCCTGAAAAAACCTGTACAATCTCGCGTATCGGCGAGAAGAAATCATGTCTCGCACGTACACGTACGGGGAGGGAGGAGAGATCAGGTAAGAAAACTGCAACGCGATTCCTTACTATCCGGTTTCACCGGATTGTGCATTTATAATAATCAATTTTTGAGCGAACCAAAAGAGTTTTAAAAGATACAAAAACTGTGTCTGAGAAATTAGGATGTTGGCAGTAGTGCGCGACAACCACTAAACTGGCCGATTCGCGAGAAAAACGCAGCCGAGGCGAAAGAAGCGCGAAGAAAACGATGACGATTGACGACGGTGGGGCGATAGTCAGGAACAGCTTCCTGAAAAAACCTGTACAATCTCGCGTATCGGCGAGAAGAAATCATGTCTCGCACGTACACGTACGGGGAGGAAGGAGAGATCAGGTAAGAAAACTGCAACGCGATTCCTTGTTATCGCTCATAAATCACCAGGCGAATAACGTTCGATGGCAGATAGAGCGAGCGCGAACATTTGCTTGCCTCGCAAAATCTACAGGTTCCACCGGATTGTGCATTTATAATAATCAATTTTTGAACCAAAAGAGTTTTAAAAGATACAAAAACTGTGTCTGAGAAATTAGGATGTTGGTTAAGATACCTGTGTGTGTCGTCTGTTTTTCTAACAGAGTACTTTGTGTCTCTATAACTCTATTAGACATACTTGTACTATCTTGTGTGGAATTTCGCGTTACAAGATTTAGAATCGACATTCGACCCGATAATTAATGCTTGGTGCATGGTGTGTATTCTCTGCCGAGGATGGCAAGATTTCATGGATAAAAACACTATCACGAAACATTATGTCGATCAAAAAAGAATGCAAAAAAAATTATAGTAGTAAAAATTCAAAATTTTCTTTTAAATATTATAATAATGGATATGATGCATAATGATTATATTATAATGATGTACAAGCAAGAGAAACGAAGGGATCCAATGGATATTTATATCTTACATACGTTTGATTCTCATCGATGTCTTACCGCTCGAACACATTACGGCGGATCCTTCTTTCTCCGTAAACTTTTTCTCGAATGCCATCGCAGCAACAATACCGAAATCAATATCGCGTTATAGATCTTGTACATTATTGATGTTCCGTGCTATCAAAACTCGATATACAAAACGATGATAACCGCACAATTTTCACCAAATTTGTATTGTGATTATCTTCTTCGCGACTGTATATTCTTATATTCTTTCATTTACGATTGTGTCACAATCATAGATACCGAAAACAAAGATACAAAATACCGAAACGTGTACATTTCCAAAGTTCGTGTTCAACTGCCGTAGAAGCGATGGAATAACCGTCGCATGGAGACAACCTGTCAAAATCAAGCTAAATAATCTAAATGAAGAATGATCAATGGATTGGTTAAATGAAAAATGATTAACACCTATTGCTGACGAAATAACGTACGTGAACAGTCTGTTAAAAAAATGAGCTAAATGAGATGAATGAAAAATGATCAGAATGTATTGTTGATTAAATAGCGCGCTTATATATGTAACATATAAATTGTTTCAGCGTATAAATTATAATACAATTTAATGTAAAATTCCAAATTTATACTTGCAAAGCTATCACTCACGATTTGTTTTGAGATGCTTTCTAAAATAACACATAATAATCTATCTTATCTTCACGTACAAACACAATTTCTCGTAATTTCTCGAGCTTAATTGAATATTGATATTCGGAAGACTACCTATTATCATGAAGCAAGATATGACAAATCAGCATCGTCATGTCAAAAAGTTTTGAGAGAACAAGCTTCTCGAGAAAAAAACATTATTACATCTGTGCATTAATTATTACACAGATAAATATTACAAATGTTTGTTTATTGTTAATATAATTATATATATCGAAAATATCTTGCATATAAAATATAATCTTTGAAATATAATACGATTTAAATTTTATGAAATGCTTTTATATAAACAAGTAAATATCTGTTAATAATTTCGATTCTTTTACGAAAATACGCGCGTTTTAATTTCTATAAAAATATTTTTGATATTTTTAATCACAATAAATGTGTAAAAACAGAAAATCGGGAAAGAAAAATTTACATAACATTATAATATGCACATGA